AAAAAAGTAGATCATAACTATATTTATAATAATTTTCCAGGCAAATTTGCCTGGAAAAGCCTACAGTTTAAGGGATAGTATTTTGTTCGGATTATTTTAACTTTATTTTAATTTTTAGTTTGAAAAGCTATATATTAAAGCAATAATAAATATATGTACTGTATAATTAAATTTTAAACATATTTTCTTAAAAGCTAAAAAGGTTATCTAAATAAAGCTTTAATTTATTGATATTTTTTTTAGATCTTTAGAAATAATAATACTAGCATATAATAATAAAAACTAAGTGCTATTTTCGTAATAATTTGTATCTTATTTGTTCAAGCAATTTTGTAAAATTTGATTTTAGATATGCATATGATAAACTCTTAACTGCGTTAGACCCAAATCTAATATAGAGTTTAAAGTTGGTAAAATGTAAGAAACCGGATCTTGTACGTATACGATGATTTATTATTTAGTTTACTATTAAAGATGTTGATATTGGGCCTCACCTTTAAGATTTAAAAAAAAAAAATGTTGATATTGGTTAATATGTATATCCTAATACGTATTATGTTGTTGAGTCAATTATAACGCGTCAAGCAAAGGATGTTAGTAATTAACCGATTATATGTATAATCAAGAAATATAAAATTATAAATAAAAGCGTATTCAGTTTTAACAAAAAGTTTGCAGTCTAAATTTTTTATTTGTAAAAACTTAATGATTTAAAGAAAAATCGACTATGAAGCATATTTACTATAAACCAATTATATGCCATAAAGAAAAATCATAAATACAAGATGCTAAAAATACAATTAAAGTATAATCATTTAAAAGGTTTAGTTCTATATATATATATATCGCTTAATACTAAATCATAATTATTCGATAATTTCTGGAAAATGTATATAAATTTTTAAATTAACCAATAATCTATATTTTAGACTAAATATCTACAAAGAGAGTAAAAACTAATATACAAAAATTGTCACATCAAGTGACGAATAAGACATTCCTTTAAGCTAAATAGAACAAAAGTTCCAATTGGAGATAAATTTTCTCCTATTTCTGCCTATTTGATAGACTTTTTTTTTTTTAATCTTTAGTTATAAATATTGGATATACAATTCCAGATAAATAGATAAATGTTTTTTTTTTTTTTGCATCGAGAATTTTCATAATTCGTTAGATAAGCTGGCAGCAACAGACGGATCAAATGGATGTTTAACAAGTAGATCATATACTTCATCGGGAATTTGTTGAGCGAGTTGAACAGTTAAATTTATGATAGGCTTGGCATTTAATTCTGGCATTGTCCTCAATAATTTCATTGGACTAAATAGATTTTGTTTTAGTTATTAAACTTGTAATTAGAATTCATTAAAATTAAACTTGAATGACAAACCTTGGTGCTTCTAGCAATTGATCTCTCATCAATATGAGTTGTGCAATGACGCATAGGATATTTAAATGAACACCGTATGCAAGTAGGAAGTCCCATAATTTCAAAACTTGTTCTAAAGGAGGCGTGCATGCACACAATGTAAGTACAGCTACGGAATAAAAAAAAATGTTAATGATTCAGTATAAAATATAAAACACGTAATCAAAGTTGCATACAGGGAAATGCATAGATTTTAGCAGTAAGACTTTTTGATTTTAGATGATTGAATAACTGGGGATCAATAATTTGAAGACATCGATCCAAGAGCTATTTAAAAAAGAAATATAAAGCATGTTAATATAAACAGAAGCGATGATGATCCACAAGAAACAAAATCAATATAACCTTTAGCCCACAATGAACACCCTGAAGCGTGGGAGTAACGTATAAAGGACAACATGTCTGAATAAATGTAGCAAAAGAAAAAAATGCGTCTATTTCTGACATGGTGAACAAGAATGGAGCAGCAAGAACATTCATTCCTTGAACATATGTAACCGTTTGGTTCCCACAAATAGTGGATGCTGTAAATATTATTATAAAATATTAGCGATAAATTCTTTTACAAGCCAGTATATTACAATAAGATGTACGATCAATTACGTTTCATTTTCCAGACAAAAGCATTCAATACACGAATTAACATATCTTCATTGACTCGTTCTAAAAATTTTTTATCTGTAGCCAGAGTCCTGAACGTATCATTTCGAACTTTATCATAGACACAAGACTTTCCTTTTTGAATAAGGCGAATGTATTCATTGGCAGATACATGATAAACACCAAGTAAATGCTTCCAAACAGTCGAACGCATAGAAGTAGGTCTAATCAAGTTTTGAACAGACGGGGCCAATTTTGGAAGATTCTAGTAATAAAATAATAATAAAATAAAAGTATTTTAATCACATAATAACATATATATCATTACTCCGACACTCGTAAAATAAATACCTCTTCGGGCAAACCCTCTAAAAGGATCATTCTTCTGAGCTTTGAAAGAGATGCCTTAACTTCTCTTTCGGTTCTATGAGTTGTATTTAAAATTTCTTCAAAAGAATTAGGTAACGTGTCTATTTGAGTTCGTCGTGAAGAAGCCGAGTTAGGAGTTGGTGAAACATTTTTTCTTGACCACGTGAAAGGACGTTGTCGAGCTGTAGGTTGTGACATATTTGTTTTTGACTTTACACACTTTGTTTCAGTTAGAGAGGAAGGTTTATTACTGATATCTTTTAACAAAATGGTACTCTCTTCAGTGCTTAATTTCATTTCTGAGTTAAGGGTATCCGGAAGACTGTTAGTGGAACGTCTAAAGTAATTTTTATGAGGCGGTACTAATAATAAATTAGAAGGCTTTTCGTGTAAGGCGTTTCCGTATGGTGATAAGCCAGGCGTAGGTGAAAGAACAATAACGGGAGCCATAGTACACCTAAAAAGGTAAAAAAGTATTTGCGAGTCGAGGTTAAAAAGGTTTAAAAAGTGTACTTCTAGAATACTTATAGAAAGCAGAGGAAAAAGTAGGTTTGCTGACGTTTATGTTTTTACCGGTTTTTTTGTACAGAATCCTTCATCACGTAATATGCAGGATGCTGTCGCAAAATGCAGAAATTGAATTATTTTAGACGAATAAGCTTTTAAACTGTATCACATTAATAAAAGCCATAAAGAATCTTGTTTCGCGTGATATATGGAAAGACTACTGGATATATCGATATACATACGTACGTACGTACTAGGTTTAATATTCGGACTTTAAAATTCATTGTATATATTCCTTTAAAAGGACAATGGGCAACTAAACTGTAAAATTTTGGGGTGAGGCGGGAAAGTCGTGTGATCCTAGAAACTTTATATTTATTAGTTTGATATTTATTAGTTTGTATAATCCCCTCACAACGATCATTATGATAATTACTGATTCGATTTTTAGTCCCTATTAAACGATCGATCATTCGACGTTTCAAATTTATATTTTTTGTCTTGAAAATTCACATGAACATGATTTGTCATTGTTTTATACCACAAGCAGCTAATATTGTAACAAGTTGCTAGCCCAAAATATAAAGGTTTACAGGAGACCTCTATATTCTACTACATTCTAGTGATAATATGCGCATTTGTCACGGGTCAATTTTCATAGACTGAACTCTCGTTTGATTGGAGATCAATTACCCGGGTAACTTATTTATGTATTTTAAAGTATATCGATATACGTACTTTTTAAAAATATAACGTTTCACTAATAAAAATAATAAAAATCTTGTCTTTTTTAGCTTTAAAAAAAAAACATTCACATTCACAACACAAAACATTTTAAAAAACGACCATTAACTTTATTTTTAAAAAAATGTATTTTTATTATTCAGATTAAAATGGTATTTGAGATTTGTACGTACGTATATTTGTATTTTTTTGTGGATGAACTATACAAATTGGTATTAGCTATATTAGCTATAAATAAAATTTTAAATCTTGAAAAACTATACTATACTGTATATATCTGTATATTAGACTGTATATAGCCAACTCTAAATACAGTATATTAAATATAAATTTTAAGTAATTTTTACCTCAATACATATTATTACTAATTATATTCTCTAGTGATTATTACTTATCACGTTTTACAAATATTCAACTAGAGATTGCGAATACGGGCGGCTTCGCAGCCCGGTGACATTGTGGTAGTACAAGATTAGTATAGTAAGTTTTTAGTGTTCATCTGATTGGTTAATGCAAATCAATTGTCCGGGTAACTTATTTATATGTTTTAGAATACTTTTTGAGAATGCAACATTACACAACTAATCGTTCTTAGCAAACGTCGTCTTTAGCTTTAAAGAGTGTTAGAAAGCTAACTTTAAAAATAATTTCTAATAATCTCTAATTTAAGAGGGGTGGTCGGCTTAGACACGATTTTCTGCAAGAGGTAAAGAAAAAAAACTGTCTAAATTTTAAAGTGCACAAAAACAAAAGTATTTATTAACAAAACAGTTGTCTCTTTTTTTAAAGCTTGAGATTTAAGTTAGGTGTTTAAAGCGAGATAGGTTTGCTCGTGTGAGAGATCTAAGTTTATGTTTAAGATATTCTTAAGTTTACTTGGTTCGTTAAAGATATCAATCTGGGTTTATAGATAGTAGGGTTAGCGATTCGAGTTTTGTTTTAGTGAGCACCATTTTTGTCCACTTTATATGTATCTATCTATCGTTTATATGTATATAATTCAATAAATCATGCGTATTTACCGATTTATATAGATTTTTTCTTGAAGTATATTGTAAAATAATGAATTGTAATTGTGTGATTTGATTGGCTAATAATCACGTAAATTTACAAATTGATCTATGAAGCTAGCCAATCAAACGAATTTCTGCCTATGAATTCACGTGTTTGAAATTACACAGGATCAGTAAATTAATTGAAGTATAAAAAAGATGAATATTTTTTTATTTATATATTTTATAATTAATGATACTGATAAATAAAATAATAAAAAAGAATAATTTGATTTATATACTGTATATTTGTTTTGGTTAATACAAGGTAAGTAAAATTATTTTATTTAGAAATAGTAAAAAATTGTACTTTTTTAAATTTAAAAGTTTTTTGAATATAATAAACTTTTTTGGATTTGTTATATTGGTTTATTTAGTAATAAAATTCTTAAGCTTTTAATTCTAATTATTTATATTCTTTAATAGACAATCCACAAAATATCTGGACAAAATTTTTTTATATATAAACTTTACTATAAGTCTGAATATGCAGTGCTTCTATTTAAACCTTTTTTTTACTAAATAAATCACTCTTGGGCTTTTAACAACAATTGTAGAGCTTATCAAGATGTATTTAATATTATATAGTAAAAATGTTAAAATTAGCTTGGTAGTTCTTGAGAAATCTTTAAAAAACTTCTTTTTTATATAAAATTTCTTTAAAAAAAATCAATTTTTTTTAAAGAAATTTTATATATAAAAAAGAAGTTTTTTAAAGATTT